AACATATGCAAATGCAGAGTGGGAGCCGCTAATGAAGGCTACTAATTAGCGGTAATCACTACACAGCCAGGGTGTGATTAGCTTAAGGAAGAAAGGGCTGTAAGAAGGAAGCCCACCCTGGGGTGAGCTCCCCCCCGGCTCCTGCCCAAAAGGGGGTGATGGAGGAACCTCCTCCCCCCACCAGCAACTCCCCGAGCGGGGGGTGGAGGTGGTGAGGAAGAGCTCGGTGGTGAGGAAGAGCTCAGTGGTGAGGAAGAGCTCGATGCCGAAGATGAGTCTCGGTGGCCAAAGAGCTCCTGGGTGGGGGTGATGCCACCTCCACCACGCTGGTGGCCACAAGGGTCTCCTGCTGATGGTGGGGACTGGAAAAAGTTGGATGTGATGCTGGGAGCTGGGGTTTGACTCCTTGGACCCTCCCCAAGGGCTCCCCAGGCACCACCAGAGCTGGCCCTGAGCCCACCGAGGGTGTTTGGTGGCCACCCTGGGGTGCATCCCACCTCTGCCACCACGGGGGTTGTCCCCGACCCCACACAGACATCGTGGGTCCACCTCACACAACACCCTTCCCTCTAAACTGGGTGGATTTGGGGGGTGGAGGAGGAACTGGTTGGGTGGTTGCATCTAGAGGGGGGTGGTCAAGGGCTCAACGGCCAGATGGAGATGGGAGACACGTGGTGTCCCTCAGGAGGTCCCTACGGGGACCAGCACCGTCCGACATCCCCATCCACGACATGGACAGTGGGATCGAGGGCACCCTCAGTGAGTTTGTGGATGCCACCAAGCTGTGGTGACACGCTGGAGGGACGGGATGCCACCCAGAGGGACCTGGACAAGCTGGAGAAGTGGGTCCTTGTGAACCTCATGAGGGACCCAGCCAATGGGGACAGACGGACACTGCAGTTGGGATGGAGACGAGGAGCTCCTGGACCTGTTCTCCGGGGCTGGTGACACCACACTTGTCCCACTTGGCAGGGGACAACCAAGACCCACCAGCCTGGGGTGGGCAAACAGCCCCCAACGTGCACCAGAGCTGGACCAGGAGCTTCTGGAGGGACCGGGGGGGCACTGGGAGCGGGTCCTGGGGTCAGGATGTTCCCATCCTGGTGTGTCCCATCAAGGGGACACCATGGGATGTGCCCTCATGGGGACACGGTGACAGAGGCTCTCGGATCTGCCAGACACAGGGGAGCCCGTGCTGGTGGCTGGGTGGATAAATTTGGATGGGGAAGAGAAGTGGGGGGGTCTCTGCCACCTTGGGGTCTTCCCCCTCCCCATCCCGAGCCCCAAATCCCACTGTCAGGAGTCATCCCTGGCCACCAAGTGCCAGTCCTGTCACTGTCCCTGGGGACAAAGAGGCACCTCGGGGCATGACCCACTTCGTGCATCCACCTCGGGGGGTGCAAACCCCCCCCAAATACCCCCATCCTAACGCCTTTTTGGGGGGGTCCCTAACCCCAGGTGGGGGATCTGCCCGCACCTCCCACCCGGGTGCCACCCCCCTCCCTAATTACTATTATTTTAACCACCCCCCAGCATTCAATTAGTTGGGGATCGAAGGAAAAATGATGCAGAAATACAGCGCGGGGGGGCAGAGGCTGGAGGGGGGGGGAAATATATATATAATAAAAAAAAATATTATCCCAACTGCACTTTTCTGTGAAGCTCTGCCAATTATGCAAAATTATTCAAGGACTTTGCACAAGGACAGGAGCTTTTCCGGCGGCCGGGAGAAGGGGAGAAGGGAGAGAGCAGGGATTTGTGGGGCTGCTGCCCCCCCCCGCTTGGCTTTTGTTCTTCATTTTGGGGGGGCTGGGGGGGTGGGATTTTTCCTGCTGCAGCATCATTGCGGGTCCGTGGTGAGATGGGAGATGCCTGCCCTGGGGACAGGAATGTCTGGCTGTGGACAGGGCGAGGATGAGGAGGGGGTGATGGAGAGATGGAGAGGAGCGGGATGGTCCCGGGAGGATGAGGAGGGGATTGGGGAGGAGGGGGATGCTCCCGGGAGGAAGAGGATGGGACTGGGGAAGGCTCGGAGTGCTGGAGAGGAGCGGGATGCTCCAGGGAGGATGGGGATGGGAGTGGGGAGGAAGAGGATGCTCCTGGGAGGATGAGGATGGGACTGGGAGGAGCAGGATGCTCCCGGGAGGAAAAGGATGGGACTGGGGAGGAAGAGGATGGTCCTGGGAGGATGAGGATGGGACTGGAAAGGAGCGGGATGATCCTGGGAGGAGGATAAGGATGGGACTGGGGAGGGCTCAGAGTGCTGGAGAGGAGCGGGATGCTCCTGGGAGGATGAGGATGGGACTGGGGAGGAAGAGTATGCTCCTGGGAGGATGAGGATGGAACTGGGGAGAAGCAGGATGCTCCCAGGAGGATGAGGATGGGGCTGAGGAAGGCTTGGGGTGCTGGAGAGGAGCGGGATGCTCCTGGGAGGATGAGAATGGGACTGGGGGAGGAGGGGGATGCTCCCGGGATGAAGAGGATGGGACTGGGGAAGGCTTGGGGTGCAGGAGAGGAGCGGGATGCTCTGGGGAGGAAGAGGATGGGACTGGGGAGAAGCAGGATGCTCCCAGGAGGATAAGGATGGGACTGGAAAGGAGCGGGATGCTCCCGGGAGGAAGAAGATGGGACTGGGGAGGAAGAGGATGGTCCTGGGAGGATGAGGATGGGACTGGGGAGGAGCAGGATGCTCCTGGGAGGAAAAGGATGGGACTGGGGATGAGCCAGATGCTCCTGGGAGGAGGATGAGGATGGGGCTGGGAAGGGCTCAGGTGCCGGAGAGGAGCAGGATGCTCCTGGGAGGATGAGGATGGGGCTGAGGAAGGCTTGGGGTGCAGGAGAGGAGCGGGATGCTCTGGGGAGGATGAGGATGGGACTGGAAAGGAGCGGGATGCTCCCAGGAGGAAGAGGATGGGATTGGGAAGGAAGAGGATTCTCCTGGGAGGATGAGGATGGGACTGGGGAGGAGCGGGATGCTCCTGGGAGGAGGATAAGGATGGGACTGGGGAGGGCTTGGGGTGCTGGAGAGGAGTGGGATGGTCCTAGGAGGAAGAGGATGGGACTGGGAAGGAAGAGGATGCTCCCAGGAGGATAAGGATGGGACTGGAAAGGAGCGGGATGCTCCTGGGAGGATGAGGATGGGACTGGGAGGAGCAGGATGCTCCCAAGGGGATGAGGATGTGCTGCTGGAGAGGAGCAGGATGCTCCTGGGAGGAAAAGGATGGGACTGGGAAGGAAGAGGATGCTCCTGGGAGGATGAGGATGGGACTGGGGAGGAGCGGGATGCTCCTGGGAGGATGAGGATGGGACTGGGGGAGGAGGGGGATGCTCCCGGGAGGAAGAGGATGGGACTGGGAAAGGCTCAGTGTGCTGGAGAGGAGCAGGATGCTCCCAAGGGGATGAGGATGGGGCTGGGGAGGGTTTGAGGTGCTGGAGAGGAGCGGGATGCTCTGGGGAGGAAGAGGATGGGACTGGGGAGGAGTGGGATGCTCCTGGGAGGAGGATAAGGATGGGACTGGGGAGGGCTTGGGGTGCTGGAGAGGAGTGGGATGCTCCCGGGAGGATGAGGATGGGACTGGGGAGAAACAGGATGATCCCAGGAGGATGAGGATGGGGCTGAGGAAGGCTTGGGGTGCAGGAGAGGAGTGGAATGCTCCTGGGAGGATGAGGATGGGATTGGGAAGGAGGGGGATGCTCCCAGGAGGAAGAGGATGGGACTGGGGAAGGCTCAGAGTGCTGGAGAGGAGTGGGATGCTCCAGGGAGGATGAGGATGGGACTGGGAGGAGCAGGATGCTCCCAAGGGGATGAGGATGTGCTGCTGGAGAGGAGCGGGATGCTCCTGGGAGGAGGATGAGGATGGGACTGGAAAAGAGCAGGATGCTCCTGGGAGGAAGAGGATGGGACTGGGGAGGAGCAGGATGCTCCTGGGAGGAGGATAAGGATGGGACTGGGAAGGGCTTGGGGTGCTGGAGAGGAGTGGGATGCTCCCGGGAGGATGAGGATGGGACTGGGGAGGGTTTGAGGTGCTGGAGAGGAGCAGGATGCTCTGGGGAGGAAGAGGATGGGACTGGGGAGGAAGAGGATGCTCCTGGGAGGATGAGGATGGGACTGGTGAGGAGTGGGATGCTCCTGGGAGGATGAGGATGGAACTGAGAAGGGGGATGCTCCCAGGAGGATGAGGATGGGACTGGGGAGGGCTTGGGGTGCTGGAGAGGAGTGGGATGCTCCCAGGAGGATGAAGATTGGGGGGAGGATTCATCCTCATTGGAGGATGAATTGGGGAAGGCTCAGGGCACCAAAGAGGAGAAGGATGCTTCCGGGAGGATGAGGATGGGACTGGGGAGGGCTCAGGGCACCAGCACGTGGGTTTTTAGAAGCCAAGAAGGCATCCAAGCCCTGGGGGGTGTCCCCAGGAGTGGGTGCCGGCCCAGAGGAGCACCCTTCTCCATGTCCCATCCTGGTGGGGACCCCAGGAGGAGGAGGAATCTCCACCTCATGACCAGAGGACACCACTGCAGACCCCAGCAGTTAAAAGCAGGGTGGGAATTGGGGTGCCCAGGACAAGGCAGGAATTGGGGTGCCCGGGGACAGAGCTCCATCCCCCCGAGGACACGGAGGACCTTCTCCAGAGCTGGGCCACCAAACCCCAGGATGGAGGCACGGACACAACCTCTCTCTGCTGGTCACAGGAGCCCTGCGTGGTGGAACCCCACGGCACCTCGGGGACCCCCTGGTCGCTGATGCTCAGGGTGATGCCAATATGTGCCCCCCCGGAGAAAAGAAACCCCATTTGACCCCTTTTGGGGTGCACCAGGGGTGACAAAGACCTTCTGTGGTGGCACATGGGGGAGCCACCAGCCCTGGCTCCTCCAGCAGAGCAGGATCCTGGCACATCCCGTGCCTGGGGGTCCACACCAGCGCGTTGGCATCCCTCCTGCTCCCACCCCACGTGCCCCATCCCGGCCAAACACCCCCCCAGGTGCCCCCGCAGGGTCCTTACCCCGGAGATGTCGGCCACCCGGTGAATGGGCACCTCCTTCTTGCTGTGCAGCCCTTTGCCATTCTTGATGGCCCTGCCAACAGAGAAGTGGCACCACCATCACCACCAGCAGCTGGGAGGACCCATGATGCCCCCCCCCAACTCTCCCCCCATCGCCCACCCCGGCAGAGAGAGCATGCCAGCTCGTTAGCACACTTAATCCTAATTACTGGCTCACCTGAGCTGGGCACAGACCTGATCCCAAATTAAATGGCTGGGGAGGGATCCAAAGGGAGGGATGGGGGGAAGGTGAGTGCCCCAACAAGACCTAAAATGAGCCCCGTTTCTTTCAGCCCCTCCCTCACACAGGACATTTTTAACACAAAACATGGGGCAGAGGCTCCGACTATAAAGATAAAACGGCCCCTTCCAGGTGAGAACAACACCCGGGGACAGGGAGCAACACTGGTGGAAAAACCAGCCCCAGATCTGATGCCAGACCCAGTACTGGGATGCTGGACCCAGTACCGGGATGCTGGACCTGGCACTGGGATGCTGGAATACAGTAATGGGATGCTGGACCTGGCACTGGGATGCTGGACCTGGTGTTGGGATGCTGGACCCAGCACAGGGATGCTGGACCTGGTGCTGGGATGCTGGAATACAGTAGTGGGATGCTGGACCACAGTAGTGGGATGCTGGACCCAGTACTGGGATGCTGGACCTGACACTGGGATGCCAGAGCCAGGGCTGGGATACTGGACCCGGTAGTGGGATGCTGGACCTGGCACTGGGATGCTGGACCTGGTGTTGGGATGCTGGACCCAGCACTGGGATGCTGGACCTGGTGTTGGGACACTGGCCCCAACACTGGGATACAGGCCCCAACGCTGGGATGCTGGACCCAATACTGGGATACTGGCCCCAGTGCTGGGATGCCAGACCTGATGCTGGGATGCTGGACCCAATACTGGGATGCTGGACGCAGCACTGGCATGCCAGCCCTGGTACTGGGATGCTGGCCCCAATGCTGGGATGCCAGACGTGGTACTGGGATGCCAGACTCGTTGTCAGGATACTGGACCCGGTGCTGGGATGTCAGACCTGGCACTGGGATGCTGGACCCAGTGTTGGGATGCCGGACCTGGTGTTGGGATGCCAGACATGGCACTGGGATGCCAGACCCAGTGTTGGGATGCTGGACCTGGGGCTGGAATACCGGACCTGGCACTGGGATGCTGGACCTGGCGCTGGGATGACAGCCCAAGCACTGG